TTTTTATTTTAAATATAGCCTTCGAGCTCTAATAAGAATGGAGAATTTTTTTTAGTAATTGCCCTGGAGAACAAGAAATTATAGCATGGATAAATATTTTGAGTGGGTATTCCATAAGTACCGGTTACTTTCATTATCACAGTGTGACAATAGTCTTTGATACAAAATGGCATTGGTTTATTGGTCAGATTAGATATTATGAGTGATATGAGTGTCAATGATATTTTTAGCAACGTTTATATTTATATACAGGGGTTATAAATGTCAAATTGTCTGCAATGATTAGCGTCGAGGTGACCGAGCACCGTCCGAAATTGTATGGATTCAAAGTATTAGTGGTCCAGGAAAACAGGCGTTTTATTCAGCTTCATTTATTTAGATACTTTTACTTAGTGAATTTTTTAAACGCATTTATCGTAGATGGTGTTACACGTTTATGACAGATACTTTACCGTGGACAGCACTGACCTCTATATATACAAATACGCTGGACTACCATAGAAAATGACTGTGCCAATTTGAAGCGCCGCTAAAGGATGTCTTGAAAAATAAAATTGACATTGTAGCGGCGCTGTCGTCGCCGCCACAAGCGAAAACACACCGAAGCCTAAATCGCGCTATCAACATTCCGAATCATAAACAGTATATATAGAACATCTCCGAATTATCACATGGAGTGTCGGCCGCTTCCCGGGCAGAACACCTTGCCCGGCGGGAGATCTCCCCTTTTCTACAAAATAATATGTCAAAGTCTGTTGTCTTATTTATATTGTCTTATTTAATAAGTCCGTATTTTGAACTTTTAAACTAAAAAACGAAAGTATTTTATGTTGTTTGATTGTGTATAATATTAGTTACACAATAAGAATTATTTTTATTAATAATGAGAGTGTGAGCGTAATCTGTAAAACTCTTTACCAAAAGGGAAGTGGTATAACATTTCACAAGTAAGTGAATTTGCAGTAAATATTAAACAAATTAAAACTATTTTATAATATAAGTACTTAAAAATGTGTTACTAATCTTAATATCATATATACCAACATGTTTGGCTATATATTACTGAGTATTGGTTTATCAATACTCAGTAATATATAAACAATAAAATTCAATAGGGTTGTCGAGTTCCTTGTCTATAATACTTATCGATGTTCTTTCCTACCCATATCTGTTAACAAACAAAGTCGCCAACAACAGACGATTATCAAATATTTATTAATTAATCCAAAGGTTTCCAACTGAACCTAGACTAAAGTTATGGCTTAAAAGCATAAATATTGTGAATTGGCGTCCGAAACAAAATGACCATATTTGTTCCAAACGTTTCACAGACGACTATTTTATTAGACATGAGAACTACACCACTTTGAAAAAGTGCAGTATATCGACAATATTTTCTGGTAGTACAAGTACCAGTAAGTATAAAAGTAATAGATTATTATTTCGAATGTTTTTTATTTCTTCTTTCCTCATTTTCCACCAAACTCAAAGGCCATAGCGAAGTGTCGAAAGGTCACCTGATGATGTCGAGTCACGTTGTATGTACTAGAGGAGATTCCTCTTCCTGTGCCGCTGTAGTCGAGGTGGAGTCGAAAGGGAAGAGGAGTGTTGGTATGGCAATTAGTGATGCGCCACAGGACAGTGCTTTGTGGCATTCCTTGGGGGAGGCCTATGTTCATCAGTGGACTTGTGAAGGGTTTTAATGATGATGAATGATAATGGCATTATATTAATATGATACATAAATAGAATGGAAGTTACGGATAGAGTCCATCTATCCATAGAGTCCATTCTATTTATTTAGGTATGGTAGGGGTATAGAATTTTATCGATAAAATTTAGTACACTGTCTTATCCCTATTATTAGTTTCGTGGACGTGCACTTCTGCTGTCAGCGCCAAAATGGCAGAAATCAAATCACTTCATCATGTCACGGTGTATAGCCAGTCCAGCGTACTTGTATATGTAGAGGTCAGTGGTGGACAGGCATGTGTTATGGCAAACGCTGAACGCATTTAGGTTGAGCGCTGGTTTAATACAGGCATTAAAGTGTCTGTATAGGGACTCGCAGGGCTGTGTATCTTCACCGTGGCTGTTCGACCTATTTACGGACAGTTGTTTGGAAAATTTGAAAGTTGAAGAATGCGGGTTAAGAATGGGTGAGTTAACCATCAAAGCCCGCCGTTTTTTTTTTCCTAAAATGGATTTGTAAAATTGATCGCCTTATATTTTATATTACTCGATTAAGCTAAATATTTACAGTTTCCGGGAGTAAATAAAAATGAATGCCTAATAAAGAATTATTGTGCTTAGTGTCGTTTACATCATGCACTCCTCGTGGAAGCCTCTCACGGTATAGTCAAAATTGTTAAGCTAGACGACTCTATTTAGCCATGTGTCATGTATAAGACATCGAGTCGAATGCCTTTGTATAGGTTGTCGAGCGACAGAGAAATATCGATGGTTGCGTTTAACCATCTTGCCATCTTGCAATGACCGCGTCAATGAAGATTGGTTTCTTGGTTGCACAACCGCTCTAACATCTTCTTATAGATGGTAGGTAGACACATGATGAGATGCCATTTACTCGAGTCTACGGTAGCCTGATCATTAGGAACCAAATGGTTGATCCCAGTAGTGAAGAGGTTCGGAGAAAAATCCTGGTTCCAGAGCTTCTTGAAACTGACAGACGAGCACAGTATGACACAACGAACACCTTTAGCCAGTAATGATGCAGCCCGTTGAGTCCCGAACTTTTCCAGTTCGAGCCCCTACGAACCGCCCCAAACCCAAATACATCGTCCGGCGTTATCGCAATGGGGCCTATAGGTATTAAATTTGCACAATGACCCGCTACAACTTTCATCCAAGTGTCTTCACTGTGGTTTACGGGTGCGCTGTGTTAATTAAAAATTATAATATACATACTTACCTACGAGTAATTTTTGAATAATGTTACATAAGTACTGTGTTTTTAACGACTGTTTGACCTTAATAATAATTTTATAATTATAACTATATAATAATAATTTATTCTCACTTGTAGTATATTCAGAAAAAACATTACAATGAATAGCAAAAAAGTTAGGTCAACTCACTATAGAGTGTAAATATAAATATATGTAGGTAAAACACTCTACACTCTCACGTAGTAGTCATTAGTAGTACAGTTGTAGCACGAATGGGACCGGGGGAGGACCACGCTCTTATAGAATACCAGCGTTAAATAGCAGCTTAACGTTTCGTATAGTGAATGTAGAAAACCGGAGACCCCTTTTACTGAAAACGAGAAATTTTATATTAAGCTTCATGGGTGACAACACATCTGCATTTTGATTTGTAGTCGAGGATAAGATGTCATTGTCTATGGGCCACAGCAACCACTAACCATCAGGGGGAATGTGTGCTCTTTTGTCGCCATATTCTATAAAAAATACTAAATATACTAACTAACTATATAAAAATATGTAAAAAATAGTAAAAGTACTTTTACTAAATATACTAACTAACTATATAAAAATATGTAAAAAATACTAAATATACAAAAACTTTTCTACGCAGTAAAAATGGGAGGTTCTAGAAAGCAGTAAATAGTTTTAAAGACATTATTTCTGATTGCCTTTCCACAATATTGCATTGTTTAATACGATATAGGTTTAGGTATTATACATATCTACAAAAATAGATATATTCCGTTTATGTTTTACGATTTTATCTTTCCTCACAAAAATAAAATTTCACTGTAAAATATATTTATTTTCATCGCAAAGTATCACTTAGAAAAGTATTACATTAATCTTATTTATTGCTTAGAGATAATACTAAGTACTTAAATTGGTTTCTATGCAGAATATAAATATCTACTATTTAATACTTAAATAATATTAATATACATACTAATACTAATTTCATAAGATGATGTATTGATTAGCAATGATTTTAACATAATAACTTCAATAGCCTACGTATTTTTGCACTTTGTTAAGACATTTCAGTTTTGACGCATGCGTGAAATATATTGATTACTAAGAATCAGAGGCTGATTTTGCTCTTTTGCTCCTAGATTTTGCAAATGGAGAAGAATTCGGCGTAAATAATTAGTTCACTTTTCTACTAAGTTATTAAGGTGACCTTCGCTAGGTTCCTACGCAAAGGAATCGAGAGGCAATGAGATACCTAATTACACTGAGGTAGAAAATGACATTGCTGCGTTAATTGGTACTGAAACAAGAATTATTGTAATATGGCTGCCGGAATAATTTACGCCAATCAATTGTGAGATGTATCTGTTTATAAAATAGTCTAAACAATTTGACGTGTTAACTCATTTTCGTCGATTTGGTTTTCCACGGGAGATCGTTATTTTAGAATAACTGATTCTCGAGTTTAATTATAATACGCGTATATTTTATTTCAATTATATATATAATGTGAAGTGGAATTCTCACTATTTATCAAAACTGTTTTACCAGTTTAAATAGGTACGGTTTTCGGTAAAGGGCTTGTGATTCATAGGCGATGGTTCATAGATAGGTTTAGGCCGTTTTCTCACTACGCCAAACCAACACGACATCAACACAACATTATGTCGTGTTGTCCATCCCTTTTTCACTAGCAAGACTCCAACACAACACGACTGTCACATTTTGTAAAGTTCATTTGTCGAGTACGCACGCAATTATGTGTCCTGCCTTTAATCAACGACAACTGCTAGCTATTTTACTATACTTAAGAAGAAGAAGGCGGAGAAAGAATTGTTGGATTCGCCCTTTACTACGTGAGAGATATGTTGATGGAACAGTTTACGTGCTCTTTGATAAGCTACGGGAGCACGAAAATAAATTTTTCAACTACTTTCGCATGTCTATAGCAACATTTGACTATATACTTCACCATATAAATGATGCCATAGTACGTCAAGACACAAAAATGAGAAAATTCATACCGCCGAAAGAAATGCTTGCTGTTACAATAAGGTAAAACTGTTTTACTAAGATACTTTATTTATTAAAATTTTGGTTTAACAGTGCTTGTATAGATGATGTAGCCACCTGTGTTTTGTCACTTGTAGTAGATGTATTTGGGTACAAACGTTGATACACTTCAGGGGATTCTACTAAATATGTGTTACTCGTAGATGTAGAAGCAATGTTTACAGAAGGTTCAGTGTACTGACGAGGAGTAGCGATATATGAATTTGATGAATACAGAGACTCTGGGGATGCAATATTGTTTGCGTTCACAGACAAATTAGAGTACGTAGATTGTTGTGGAGACGGGTCGATGTGGAATGGATTACGACGTTTGCAGTATTTATTTACGACTTGCATAATTTCAATTCTGAAATCCATTTTGTCATCAGGAATTTTTTTATCGTTGGCAATAATGACATAAGGAACGCGTGGTCATCGTCAACTAGTTCTTCTTTTTTTTTGGCAATTTAGAACGAATTGCATTTAAAATTTCTTTGTTTTACAGGATTCATTTTTACGCGTTTGTTTGTAGAAGGCTGTATTGACGAAGGGGTATTGTGAGTACTGTGATCGTCTTCAAAGTCATCCTTTCTAGACGAAATACTAGATTCGGTTTCATTTGGTGTCATATTCTTCAACAGAAACTGCAACATTTCGCTGTACATGTACTTTTTCTTGGTGCTTTGTCCAGATGTAGTTTTTAAAGATCGTTTGAAACAATCTCAAATGCGAGTCCATTTGTCATAAATGTGGGTGACTAACAAAAATTATTTCTCTCTTTATAGGTATTTAGCAAGCGGAAATACATTCACGGACCTGCATTATCACTACAGATTGGGAATAACAACAATAAGTGCAATAGTGAAAATTGTTTGTTGCCAAATATGGATTTTGTTTTACGAACAATATCTTGGAGATCCTACTACTGCAAAATGGATATCAATTGCAAATGGATATAAGCTAAAAGCGCACTTTCCCAACTGTGTAAGTGCTGTTGATGGAAAACATATCAGAGTACAAAAATTTCCTAACTCGGGTTCCATGAATTTCAACTATAAAGAATACCATTCAATTGTGTTAATGGCCATAGTTGACTCTGATTACCAATTTGTCTATGTGGATATAGGTGCACATGGCAAAGATTGCGACTCGCCTATCTTTCAGAATACTGATTTCCATGAGCTGCTTATAGCGAACAATTTAAATATTCCAAGCTCAGCACCTCTGCATGCATCTATGACCAGTAGATTACCGCATGTTCTAGTGGGAGATGAGGCTTTCCAACTAACTAGACACGTATTGTGTCCTTATGGTGGTCATAATCTGGACGTAAAAAAATATTCAACTATCGTCTTTGCCGTGCGCGTAGGTACGTAGAATGTGCTTTTGGCATATTGGCTAAAAAATGGCGTATATTTCATCGCCCTTTAAATGTCTCAAAACAATTCAGCAAAGAAATCGTGAAAGCATGTGTAGTTTTGCACAATATAGTTCGCCAGAAAGATGGATACAGAAATGAAGATTTATTAACACTTCAAACTCCAGACGGTATACAAAACATACAGATCGCCGGGAATACGCGGGGAAATCGTACTGCTAATGATATAAGAAACCAATACGCAGATTACTTTTTAAGCGAGGTAGGTTCGTTGCCCTGGAAAATGGATAAAATATAAGCAGTGGTGGATCCAGGATTCGCTTTGAGAAGCGTGTATTCGGTTGGGGGGGAGGGCTATACCTGCTTTTTTACCAATTAATTTTCGCTACCATAAATACGTCGGTTTATTTATACACGGTGTGTGTCGACCCGAAGGTTTTCTTTCAATGATTATATCGAAATATAGCCCCCTCCCCCCTCTGGATCCGCCACTGAATATCAGGACCAACAACTCTTCACATCACATCGCAGAACACTCACAATGTAATCTGAACCAAAATATGAATAAAGTACTTACTAAGTTCCTCCTGTTGTTTTAGTTGTAAATTATTGTATTCCGGTTCTAAAATTATTGCGACATATTCCCAAGCATTTCTTCTTATAATTTTTTGTCTGTAATCTTCGTTCGATTTATCCCAAAGACACGGTTTACTTTCTACAGCTTCTATTAACATTGAAACATCGTATTTAAACTTTTTTCCATTATTAATTAGGTTAAATAAAAAAACAATTTCTAGACACGCGCGAAAATGTTCGAGGAGGGCGCGCACTCGCAAGGAATGTTGTGTTGGTGTCGTGTTGCCTGCAGTGAAAAAGTCCCTATAGAGTCTGCAAGGCGGCTATGTTGTCACAGTGTTGTCACAACAAAAAAGTTGATTTGATCTAGCGGACAAGACAACATAGCCGAATTGTTGGTTCAAAGTTGTGTTGTGTTGTCCCCGTGTGTGAGAAAACGGCGCATACTTTAATATGGCGGTTGGAGTTGTCACAAAATTATGTTGTGTTGATGTTGTGTTGTTTTCGCGTAGTAAGAAAACGGCCTTAATGTAATAAATATTTTTCGCTCGTTGATATGAGCTTTAGCGCATTTTCTCCGAAACAGCTTGACCGACTTAGATGCGGTTTTTGTGAAGTGTTTGAGATTTTTTTAGGTTTGATTTTGAACTGTGACAAACCACCGGAATACCGGTTATTTTTAAGTTCTTGAAATTTAGGGTCCTTTTGATAAGATTAGATGAGTACCATTTGTACATGAACTGCTAAAGGTCTGAAGAAGGAACAAACAACAACATGAGGATCTTAGCGAAAGTATCTAGTAGACAGTGTTTGGGCTCTTTTGATAGTTATTTGTAAGTAGCTTCTATATATGAACTGCTGAGGGTTACGTACGGGGGTACGATGAAAAAAAAAACGAAGTAGTTCGAGGATAAAACGCAGAGATATAATTTTTGTAAGACATCAAATATATACAGAAGGACAGACAAATAGACAGACGTTAGAGCAGTAACTTAGGAACACTCTAAAATGTTTAAAATAAAAGTACTTCGCCTCCGACATCTCACGTCTGTATAAGTAGCTCTTTTTTAACTTTCCCTATAAACGCTATAATATGCACGCACGCGCGCTGTATAGTATATATCACCCTCAAAAATGAAAAAAAATGTACAAAGATGAGTATGGAAATAAAATTGTCTTGATACGAAATATTCTAACCCGACGGTCACGCAGTCTTCGGGATGATGTAAAGTATATTTGGAGTCAAACCGTAAAAGTCTTATTGATTAAAACTACTTTTACGGATTTTATCGCGTTTTATTTATATTAATTTTAATACCCGACGTTTCGGGTGCTCCGGGTTAACTTTGACATCGGGACGTCAGTCACCTCAGTCCCCCGTGACCATGGGTGCTGGAAAGCACCCGAAACGTCGGGTATTAAAATTAATAAAAATAAAACGCGATAAAATCCGTAAAAGTAGTTTTAATCAATGTAAAGTGTTCGCGTAAATATAAGAAATCATTACGTAAAAGTCTTATATTATATTTATGCGAAGTCTAAACAAGTGTCTAAGAGTTAAAAAAAATGCTTAAAAGCATCTCGTCGTCATCGATTTTGGAGTAAAAAACTAACTACATCGAGTGGAAATAATTTATTTTTATAGAATAAGAGTGACAAGCAAGCACACAGTCCACCTGATAGTAAGTGGACACTGCGGCACATAGACATCTCCATTTATCAATTTTATTTTTATTTTTCTGAGTATTTTTAAGCTATTGCATAGCTTCTATCGCGGGCCTTGAGCGCGGGGACCGAATCCAGAAATTCCGTAACGAAAAAAACCTCACGCTCCCCACTCCGACGGGCACGGAGGTGTGGCGTTGAAAGCCGTGCATCGTCTAACGTCGTTTCAGTTCGGCAGACTTCGGCACTCGGCAGAGTTCAGCACGATGTTTGTGAGCGTGCGACTAGACGTATGCGTGTACACTAGCTGCTAACTGAATGATAAAAATTCCTGAATAACCTACATGTATTGTAAGATATTAAAAATATTTTGAACAATATTTACTTCTCATTTATTCAATAAGAGAAAAAAATTGTTTTCTTATCGGTCACCACTCTCAAAAAGTGTAACTTGATTTAATATCAAAGACTTAACTGCATAAATAAATTAAATAAATAATTATAATTGCATAAGTTGATAAAAAATGCTATGCAATAGCTTTACCGCGGCAGTCACCGAGTGCCACACGTATTTTTTTTTTAATTTAAACGAATATTATAAAATTAATAACACTAAGTTTGTAGATTTTATGGCGTCCAATATTATGGTAATTTTATTAACGATCAACAAGGCTTCCAATTTTCGTATTTTGTTGTTACTGAATTAAAATTTTGTTCCGCGGTGCCTGGGATGGATTATGTTGGGCTTGAATCGATTTAAAATCCATGATGTTTTATTTTTCAAAGCCTTTCATACAAGGCTTCGGTATCCATCATCGGAAGTGCCCTTCAATCCAAGACGAAAGGCTGGAATTTCCTTTGTATTGTACAGTTGTGTTTTTTTTTATTCATGTACCTACTCGTACATTACTTGATTTCCGCTATTTACAAGTTTCGATAGTTCCGCTATTTACAAGTTTAGATAGTTTCGCTCGTGTAACAAGAAAAGAATTATAACAATTTCCCAAAAGAAGTCGATACGACAAAATAAAATATAATTTTTTCAGTAAATAGAAATCCGAAATAAGTTATTAATTTTAACTTTAAATTAGCAGTTTTTTCATATTCATGTTCGTGATGATATTATCGATAGAAAAACGATCGGAAAGTTTAAAAAAATGCGAGTATATGATAAAAGATGAAAGAAATACAATAAAAATGTTAAGCTGACTAATCAAGGGCGATATTGTTTTTCTCAATCAATTTAGCTAATGTAACTAGTGTAACGTACTATTCAAAGGAAGTAAACGAAGTAAAGTGTTTTACTAACGTAATGTGTCAGATACTTGCTTTAACTAACAACTCAAGTTATAAAATCCAGCGACAACTGCAAAGGTCGTTTGAAGGTCGGGGAGGACATTTGACGGCGCCGTAGCGTCTCTGAAGGTTTATATTGAAACTACTTCAGGGTTGTCAACCCTTTGCACAGTAGTTTATCGATGTATGTGTTGTATTTTATTTGAAAACTATAGCTGTTCTCCGCGACTTAGTCAATTCGTGTTACCTTGCATATTCACTGCAAATTCTTATTTGAGTTTTCTATTTTGAAAAATAGGCTTCTTAAATATAATAAGGTATAATATACAATTGCAAATCAGATGCTTCATTATACGTACTACTGGATAATTAATGGTCCTTAATTCTGTCAATGTCAACAAATCAGGAAATGGGCGGCAGAGTCCTTTTTATAACAACAAATTTAAAAAATAAACTATGGGAA